CAAGACAAGGCAGAACAAATCCTAGTCTATCTCGTCTTTCCTAATAATCACAATACTCAGCGAAAATGACACATGAAGCTGAATATGTCCCCAATGTCAATGACCTCCGCTTCATGGTTGAAACGGGCGTCCATCGTCGAGCCCTTGGTCCTCAAGAGCACGACCCGAAGAGCGTCCCGACGGAATCAGAGCTCACCGCCGACGAGCGTCATAGTATGAGCCGACGCGAAGTCGGGCGTGTACAAGACCCGCCAGTGTACATCGCAATTCATCCCCCGAGAGCGACAACCTTTCTTTCTGGGTTTAATTTTTAGGAATGTACTTTTAGCTCTACGTGCAGCCAAATTTGGTTATTTCACACAGTTTAAAAAGATTAAATCTTTGCGAAACATGCTACATAACTGCACTAGGCAGTGCTCAACAGCTCAAGCTTGAAACGGAGCGAAAAAATGGTGCCTTTCGTGCCCGGTTTGAGCGGATACTACTCCACGTGCTAAAAAACCGCGTCAGCAGTCGGCACTCGGCACGGCCCCCACGCCCACGTGTCAGCAGGAGCACGATTCGTGGGCCCCGCGGCCCAAACGGCCCGCCTAACCGCACCCACACGGCCACACCATCCTCGTTCGCTCCGCGCACCCAGCTCGCTCTCTCGCTCCCAACCCTCCCCCACCCCACGCCTCCCTCCTCCCTCCGTTCCATCCTCGCCCGAGCTCTCCCCCTCTCCCCGCATCGGCTCGCAATCCCCGCGCGCGCAATCGAGTTCCTCCTCCCCCGACCGGCCGATCGATCCCCGCCGCCCGAGCGCCTCCTCGCCGTGGTATTCCGATCGATGCATTGAGCTCCCGCCCAGGCAAGGGCCCCGCTTCTCGGTTCTTTCATCTCTGCCCATTCCCGCCTGGTCTCCGTGATTTCTCGATCCTCGTCTGTTTTGCATGATGACATACCGATTTGGAATCCGGTGCAATGACAACGTTCTGGTTCGCGGCGGGGGGTACGGTGTCGATGTGTGGGTTTCTAAAAAAAATTGGGTGAATTTGGTGGCTCGTCGTGGGGTCTTTGTTAAATTACTTCTTTGATAATGATTTGCTGGTCCTGCCATTGACTTTTTTGCCTTTCCATTTATTTTAATTTTATGTTTCTGCAATATATATTAATCGGTTTAAGGTACTATGATTATTCCTTGTTGATACGCTGTTTCCTTCAATACTAGCCTTTTCAATTAGTATTGTTATTATTGTTTATGAAAATGTGATGTTGTTATGGCCTATATTTTTTCCCTTTCTTTTGTATAATGTGTTGGCTGAGTGAGTCCTTTAACTTATGATGATGTGTGTATTGATATCGACAAGCGAAAATTGTGGCCATGTTTGACGAAAACGCCTGGCCACAAGGCAATCAATCTAATATGTTATCATAACTCTAAATACTGGAATGCTGAGAATTAGACAGGGAGATCCTATTTTATGAGAGGCCGATGTGGTGAGTGCTTTCTTGGTCCTCATTGGCCACATGCTGCTAGTCATAGCAAGTTGGCAACACTGTTGCTTTTCAGCCTTGTGCCGCCTTTAGCTTTGGCCAGGGAGATCAAGTAACACCTCAAGCACCATTGTTGTCTGTTTTCATTGTTGCTGCCGTTGCTCTTCATCAAAGTTTCCTTTTCAACTACGTTATCCCCTATGTCCATTCGTTCTTCCAGAGGCACCTGAAACTGAATTCAGTGGCACACCTTTGACCATGAACGTTAAATTATGACTGTGTAATCAATGTATTTCATTCCCGGTAGTAACTAGGAGAGTTTATTTAGTTCCTAGTGTCACTTTAAGAAGAGCTATGCTCAATTTGGAGTTAGGCAGTCAACTAACGTATGTAGTATGTACACATATGTAATATCTTACTCTTCTTTGTTTTTTTCAAGACTGGATCTCAATTTGTGTTTTGTCTAGTGTTGGCGTCTATTGTTATAGTATTGGTGGCTTGACGGGCTTACAAGCTAGTGACCCTTAAATGTGTGAAAATATCCTCAGAATAAGGATAGTTAGTTATGCCCAAGCTCTCATCCCCGATATTACGTACATTTCCAGGTAACAGGTTTCTACCACTCTACAAAATAGAGCAATTCGCTGAAATGGGGGGTGTGATTGGAAAGGGAGACACCCCAAGGTACAGTTCAGCAGCTACAAAGTTAGAGCAGAAGATGGTTGATGCCATGCAGCAGAGGGCACAACAAGGGACTTCCCTGAAGTCATTCAACAGTGTCATCATGAAGTTCCCTAAAATTGACGAGAATTTGAGAAACTGCAGGATTATCTTTCAGCAATTTGGTGAGCATTATCCCCCTGTATGTAAAGTTATCGACTAATGTTGGTAGTGTTAACCTTGTATTCTACCATGCCATCAAAGTTTCAAAACTCAAGTCTGACAACTAGTTTGAGATACGTTAATTCTGAAGTTTCTGAACTTAACCTACTTGGGATAATTTTATTTCGTGTATTGTATAGTAATTTACTAGTAATTTCATATGTAATCGTACTATCCTTTATTGTTCTCTCTTTTCCTAATATCTTTCTTTTTCATGCTCTAACAAATAATGTTCTGTATTTTGCAGATGAAGATTCAAATGGTGAAATAGATCAATTAGAACTGAAACATTGTTTCCAAAAGCTGGATATCTCATTCACAGATGAGGAGATAAAAGATCTATTTGAAGCGTGCGACATATATGAACACATGGGCATGAAGTTCAATGAGTTCATTGTCTTCCTGTGCCTTGTTTATCTTCTCAATGATCCAGCTGTGTCAGAAGCAGTATCCTTCATACTTCCAAATATAAAATACACCTACTTCCATATTTCTGCTATCACTTGGTGCTTTACTGCTGCTGCTACACCATGTGAGAACTATAATTATTAAGAAATACATGACCCAGTTCATAAAAGCAACGTTGATTTTCTCCATTATTATGAACAAAATATCAATATGCTTATTTATGTTTGGCAGACTACATAATACGAATTAATTTATCAAAGCTAGTGATAGATAGGTTCTCTTGCAATATATATGCTTATCATGCAATACATTAATTAATCAACATAGGGAGTAGGAATCACATGCAAAGTGCCTTCGATCAGGTTATTCAGTAAAGATATAAATTATGTGAAGTTCCATAAAATACTTCAAGAGAAGTACTTAAAAATTGTCCAAGGTATTCAATTTTTTTTCATGAAAGTTTTGGTCATTGCAAGAAAAGACATCATATAATGGCAACTAGGTAGATATGTCAGACTTCTGCACTGGGATCCTTGTTTACAACTTTACATGTGTCAATGTTCTGTTTTCATAAGGAGACTTGTTATGTCCTTGATGTGTTGCTTTAGAGAAAAAGAATGGGATTAGGTAACCTTGAGCCGACTTTTGAGACGTTGGTTGATGCATTTGTGTTCTTGGATAAGAACAAAGATGGATATGTCAGTAAGAATGAGGTGATAGAAGCGATAAATGAGACCAGTGCAGGAGAACGCTCTTCTGGACGCATAGGCGTGAAAAGATTTGGTGAGTGATCTAACCTGCAGCGGCATATTGAATCCTCTATAAAATCACTCTCATACTTTTCTGTTGGTTAATCTTTGATTTCTCAACTAACTTTAGATTGCAAATGCTAATCGGCTTTAGACATGTTATGCTGCTGCACCGTTACTTTTCTAGGCATCTCAGCAGTTCAGAAGGACACTTTTAGAAAGTGAATCTGGTGGCAAAAACAACTATGACTATGTTTTCACTTCCTTTCTCTAGTTTTTCCTTCTGGAATTACCACCTCTCTCTACCTGCTTTGCAATGGCCTTGTGAGATAGGCAACCCTTTTTGGCTTAAAAAATAATCGATACAAGTCTCAAGCTGCTGGCAATTTTAATTTCCTTTGGAACATTGGTGCCAAGCCTCAGCAGTAGGGATGCCTCAGTTTATTTATATTCCTTCGTGCTTTGGCTTTTGAAGAAATTTTGTTCAAGTTCAACAACTGCATAGGAGGTTTGGTGCTTAGTGCTTATTCCAGCCCACATTATGAGAGTTTCCTCATTTATGTTGACCCTGATGTTTATACTCTTTTGGTGGTTCCAGAGGAAATGGATTGGGACAAGAACGGAACGGTGACCTTCAAGGAGTTTCTTTTTGCCTTTACTCGCTGGGTGGGGATCGACGATAATGAAGATGACGACGATGATGAATAAGCACAGCTGAAGATCTAGCCATTCTGAATAGGCCAAGTCAGCCCTCGGTAGCCTCCAGCAGCTTTCCTACTTATGATAATGAAAGAGTAGTTTAAAATGTTCATTGGTGCCTTGCCAATTATGTCTGTTTATGTTTTGTTAATAGAATGAACCAAAGTTGTTGAGAATTTGGCGATAAAACTTTGTGCTTTGGTGTTGTCTGATCATAGATAACCATGCCATTGAAAACTTTGTGCGCTCAGGTATTGGAAGCAAAATTGTGAAGTTTGGAAGAGAGGTGGTCTTGTTTCCATCGAAATTAAACAAAAATTTTAGGATGAAATCAAACTTTTTTTCTCCTTAAAAAAAGAAAGAAACTAAACATTTTTTTTCCTTTGATACCTCTCGTGGCCTCCCTTTGCATTGATAGATACACACCTGCACGCACCTGCGACAAAACTACAATGTCCAGTTGCAAGTATATTTCACTGGCATTTAGGTGTAACAAAGTTACAATGTCGAGTTGCAAGTATACTTCAGAGGCATTTAGGTGCTTCTGCTGTTGCAGAAAGAGCGATATTTTTCATACCGTTACAAATATATGGTAAGAGTTATCCATGTCAGGGCTTGTCAATCCCCTCCAATCCCTTCTGAGAAGGTGGTGTTAAAGGAACAAGCGCTCAAAGTATTAGCACCAGTCTCAGGCTTTGTTGGTGACCAGGGGGAGAACGCCGAGGATACTAAATCCCTTTTTATTTGAAAAGCATCAAATCTAATCTATTATAAAAGTTCATCGAAGTTCGGAAGGGGGTGTTAACGGAACAAGTGCTCAAAGCATTAGCACCAGTCTCAGGCTTTGTTTGTGACCAGTGGGAGAACGCCGAGGATACTAAATCCCTTTTTATTTGAAGAGCATCAAATCTAATCTATTATAAAATTTCATCGAAGCTGGGAAGGGGATGTTAACAGAACAAGTGCTCAAAGCATTAGCACCAGTCACAGGCTTTGTTGGTGACCAGGGGGAGAACGCTGAGGATACTAAATCCCTTTTATTTGAAAAGCATCAAATCTATTATAAAAGTTCATCGGAGTTGGGAAGGGGGTGTTAACGAAACAAGCGCTCAAAGTATTAGCGCCGCTCTCAGGCTTTGTTGGTGACCAGGGGAGAATGCCGAGGATACTAAATCCCTTTTTATTCGAAAAGTATCAAATCTATTATAAAAGTTCATCAAAAAACAAAGCATTTTAAAGGTAACAAAAGTTACGTCGAGATTCTAAAACCACCGATGACCACTACTGCCGCTAGAACGCGCTGCTGTCGCCGCTTCCCTTCCGGAGCCGGCTTGACCATGTCGATGAAAGCCGGGAAGTCTTCGTGCATGTCCCCTGAGGTCTGGCGCTCTGGAACCGCAGTCATCGTCATTGAACCCTTGCAAAGATTTGAAGCATCTAACACCAAATCTCGTCACATAACGAGAAACCCTAATCTCACCATCCCAGGGAGGCGGCAGGAATCTACACCGGTGCTTCATCAACTATGTCCATACGAACAAACTCGAGGAGGATCGGATCCCTGAAGACAAACTCGAAGAAGAAGCACTGCCATCCGCCCGAGCGCCGCACCTGCGAGGACTAAAAACCCTAACCTAAACTACTAACCGAAGCAAGGCACCGGGATTTTCCTCCCTGCCACTAGCCGTCGGAGCGGTAGGAAAAGGGAAGGCGAATCCACAGGCTCGTCGGTGAAGTCTGGAGGGGAGAGTTTGTCCTAGCCATCTAGGGTTAGTTACTTAGCAGGATGTGACACCCCGACTTAATCATGCACTAATCATATACGCAAATGCGCATGATCAAGATCAGAGACTCACGAGAAGATATCACAACACAACTCTAGACACGAATTAAAGTCATACAAGCTTTATATTATAAGCCAGGAGCCTCGAGGGGCTCAAATACATAAGCACGAATACACAAGAGTCAGCTGTGTTGGAAATATGCCCTAGAGGCAATAATAAATTGGTTATTATCATATTTCCTTGTTCATGATAATCGTTTATTATCCATGCTAGGATTGTATTGATAGGAAACTCAGATACATGTGTGGATACATAGACAACAACATGTCCCTAGTAAGCCTCTACCGGACTAGCTCATTGATCAAAGATGGCTATGGTTTCCTAGCCATGTACATGAGTTGTCATTTGATAACGGGATCACATAATTAGGAGAATGATGTGATGGACATGACCCAAACTATAAATGTATCATATGATTGTGTCAAGTTTATTGCTATCGTTTTCTGCATGTCAAGTATATGTTCCTATGACCATGAGATCATGCAACCCACTGACGCCGGAGGAGTACCTTGTGTGTACCAAACGTCGCAACGTAACTGGGTGACTATAAAGATGCTCTACAGGTATCTCCGAGGGTGTCTGTTGAGTTGGCACGGATCAAGACTGGGACTTGTCACTCCGTATGACGGAGAGGTATCTCAGGGCTCACTCGGTAATACAACATCACAAGAAGCTTGCAAGCAATGTGACTAATGGTTTAGCCACGGTATATTGTATTACAGAACGAGTAAAGAGACTTGCTGGTAACGAGATTGAACTAGGTATGGAGATACACACGATCTAATCTCAGGCAAGTAACATACCGATAGACAAAGGGAACTACATACGGGATTAGATGAATCCTTGACATCGAGTTTCGACCGATAAGATCTTTTTAGAATATGTAGGAACCATTATGGGCATCGAGGTCCTGCTATTGGTTATTGACCGTAGAGGTATCTCGGTCATGCCTGCATAGTTCTCGAACCCGTAGGGTCTACACACTTAACGTTTGGTGATGATATAAGTATAGTTGAGTTATTATGGTGGTTACTGAAGGTTGTTCGGAGTCCCCGATGAGATCTGGAATGACGAGGAGCTCTGGAATGGTCCAGAGGTGAAGATTGATATATTGGATGGGCGGGCATTGGAGTCCGGAATTGTTCCGGTGGTACCGGGTGATGACCAACATGACCAAAAGGAATTTCCGGGGGGGGGGGGGATAAGTGCTGGGAGGCCTCATGGGAAAACGGGAGGGGGCACACCAACTCACTAAGGGTTTGTGCGCCCCTCCCACCACATCTCACGTAACGAGGAGGGTTGGTGCGCCCCTAGGGATGCCTCTCCCTTGCTTGGGGGGCAAGGCACCTAAGGGGGGCTACCCAAAACCCATTTAGGGTTTCCCTTGTGGCCGCCGCCCCCCTTGGGGAAACCCTAGGGCGTCTCCCCCTCTCCCCCTTCCCCCTATATATAGAAAGGTAGAGAGAGGGCAGCTGCACCCATCCATGCCAAGGCGCTGCCCTCCCTCTCCCTCGTAGCCATCTTCTTCTCCATAGTGCTTAGTGAAGCTCTGCCAAGATTTCTCCACCACCACCGCCACCACGCCGTCATGCTGCCGGAGGCCTCGACCTACTACTTCACCATCACTCGCTGGATCGAGGAGGTGAAGGCGTCATCAAGCCGTAGGTGTGTTGAACGCGGAGGTGTCGTCCGTTTGGCGCTAGATTGGGAGTTCGCGGGGCGGATCGTGATTGGATCACGAAGACGTTCAACTACATCAACAACGTTTCTTAATGCTTCCGCTTAGCAATCTACAAGGGTATGTAGATGCAATCTCTCCTCTCGTAGACGTCCATCTCCTAGATTGATCTTGGTGAGCTTAGGAAGTTTTTTGTTTCCCATGCAACGTTCCCCAATAGTGGCATCATGAGCTAGGTCTATGCATAGATGACACCACGAGTAGAACATAAAGGAGTTTGTGGGTGTTGATATTCAGATTTCTTCCTTCCTTGGTCTTTTCTTGATTCAACGGTATTGTGGGATGAAGCGACCCGGACCAACTTTACGTGTCCACGTACATGAGACCGGTTTCATCGACATACATGTGACTTTGTTGCATAAAGATGGCTGGCGGGTGTCTGTCTCTCCCACCTTAGTTGAATCGGATTCAATAAAGGCGGTCCTTGTAGAAGGTTAAATAGCAACTTGCATATCACCTTGTGGCTTTGCGTAGGTAAGAATCGTTCTTGCTAGATACCCATAGCAACCACGTAAAAAGATGCAACAACAATTATAGGACGTCTAACTTTTTTTGCAGGGTATGTTGTGATATGATATGGACAAAGACATGATGAGATATATTTGATTTATGAGATGATCATGTTTGCAATAGTCTATATCGACTTGCATGTCGATGCATACGGCAACCGGCAGGAGCCATAGGGTTGTCTTTAAATATTGTATGACCTGCGTGTCAATTATTAAGCGTTATGTAATGCTTTACTTTATTGCTAAGCGGTAGCAATAGTAGTAGAAGCATGGTTGGCGTGACAACCCCGATGGTGGCACGATGATGGAGATCATGGTGTCATGCCAGTGACGATGGAGATCATGCCAGTGCTTTGGAGATGAAGATCAAAAGCACAAGTTGATGGCCATATCATGTCACTTATGATTTGCATGTGATTTTAATCCTTTTATGCATCTTCTTTTGCTTAGGACGACGGTAGCATTATAAGGCGATCCCTCACTAAAATTTCAAGATAAAGTTGTGTTCTCCCCAAGTGTGCACCGTTGCGAAAGTTCGTCATTTCGAAGCACCACATGATGATCGGGTGTGATAGACTCTATGTTCGCATACAACGGGTGCAAGCCAGTTTTGCACATGCGGAACACTTGGGTTAAACTTGACGAGCCTAGCATGTACAGACATGGCCTCGGAACACAAGAGACTGAAAGGTCGAACACGAGTCATATAGTAGATATGATCAACATAGAGATGTTCACCACTGAAACCACCTCATCTCACGTGATGATCGGACTTGGGTTGGTGAATTTGGATTGTGTTACAGTCGGAAAACTGGAGGGATGTTGATTTGAGTGGGAGTTCTTAGGTAATATGATCAATTGAACTCATTTATCATGAACATAGCCTAAATTGTCTTTGCAAATTATGTTGTAGATCAA